GTTTTTGTTTTATCGAGTTGTTGTTTTGCTTATCGAGTTGTTTGTCGAGCGGACGTGTTTCGTGTTTTTGAGTCATTGCTCTCTGTTTAAGCAATCTTTGTTAAAGTCTTGTTTATTTGCGTTGTTGCATTTTGTTTATCGAGTTGTAAACTTGCTAAAGATTCTGTTATATCTTAGTAAGTTGAGTTGCTTAGTTTGTTGCGTCGGTTCACTACCTGACTTGGTGATTACACATTGCGCATTACCATTCAATTTCATTTTTGTGCAAAATAAGTGATGCGATACGATGCTAAAAGTTCAAAATACAAACATCTTTTCAAAAGCTATTTCATTTCATCATGCTTTACAACAAACAAAGGTACAAGTTTTACAAAAAATAAAACTGCCTAGCAATGTGCAAAGTGCTACAAACTACTAGCAAAAAGAAAAATAAAGCAGGAAATAGCAACATCAAAGTCCTCGGGAGCGGGAACGAGAAGCCCTCCTCATCCTCTTCTGCGGGACAATCTCCACAGCATCATCATCATCTGAGTCGGCGCCGTCATCCTCAGGATTCCCCTCAGCCTCCTCCTCCTCCTCCTCGGCAGACGTCTCTGACTGACGATCCGTGGCCTCCTCCTCCTCAGGCTCCACCTCCACAACATGAGCCCTGCGTCTGCGGACGGGCCCCCCTCGAGCCCCTCGATAAGGTCTAGATGGCCCGGCTCCTCGGGAAGGCCGAGATGACCCCGCCCCCTGAAAAGGCTCAGATGGCCCAGCTCCCCAATGAGGCCCAGGTGGCCTAGTCTGCGGCTGGCCGGACCATGAAGGCATCTGAAAATAAAGAATTCAAATGCATCAGTCCAAATGTATACATCAGATACAGATACAAGCAAAAGCTACATGAAGTGGGTGCATGTAAATGCAGTGTACAAGTGGGGTGTGTGTCAGATGTGCTCTACACAAATAGTCTATCGATGCAGTAGAAATCAGCATGTCATCAGAAGTATGATAAATGCCAGAAAACTGAAGGGTACCTGAATGCCCGCGACAGACAACTGCGCCTCCCTGCGCAGGACCATGCCCTCGAGTGTGGCCACCAGTCCAACCATCTCCTCTATGTACCCTCGCGATGGCTGCAAGAATGAGCTCATAATCATCAGTGAACAGAAGAGTATCTAAACATCTGAATGATGAAATGAAAAGTGGAGCATACCGGCGGTGAGTCCGGATCAATGGCTTATCGATCACTGGGCATCGGAGGCTCTAGTGGAATCGGAGTCGGAGAGCTAGCCCCATACTGCCACGCCATCAACTCAGTAGGCATATCTGGCCATCCGGGATGAGGATGAACCGACGGAGCCGGAGGAACCGGTCTACTCCCACCTCTAGATGTACCGGCCCTGCTAGTAGAAGGGGCGTCTGCAGCCCGAGCCTGAGCCTGGTCTGAGGATGACATACCGGCGGGTCTCATCATCGGGATACGAGCTTCCGTCAATGGAGGCATCAAATATATGTGACGGTAAGTGGCATAGTCCCCCTCCTCAACATATAGTAAAGCATCACTACCCAGCATGGCGCCGACTACCTCCGAGTAAGAGAGCCTGTCAGCAGTCCGCATACTGACTGGGGGTACTGCGGGAGGATCCTAAGAAAGATACCCCCATACCTGACGCAGAAAGCGCTCCCCCAGGAACCATACCCTGCCAACCGGCCCTTCGAGCAGGACC